ACGTGGAAATTATTGAAGTATTCGCCGAAAAGAAGGTTTTTTTGAATACTTACACAACACTTTTGGCTTCTAAGACAATAAGAATTACGCTTTTGTCTTTGCTATGTGAGTTCAATGGTGTCTTATTTCATTACGTGAAATTTTGAAATTTTCTATGGAAACTACTGGATAAGCACACAGCTTACTCAAAATCAGGCCTTCTATCGTTTAACAGCAGAACACTGGCGACCGAATAACTGTACTTTGCGCTGAATGGCACGTGCATCGGGCAAAATGAAGCCAGCTTCTGTTGTCCTGTGACTGAATAAGTGTACTATGAATCGCAATTTAAAGGCATGTAAAAAACTAAAAAATTAGCATAAGCTAAATGACTTGTGAGCATGAGTCACGGATTTTGCGTATTGGTATTACTCCTTCGTCACTACCTGGAGGGTTTTGTTAGAAACTGTCAAAAACGTCTAAACCCTACAGAGAACAGTGACAGTTATTTACAGTGCATACCATTGGCATACAATACCCACTAGACGCGACTGCCTCAATTTTCTCTTTTGTGAATCAGAAAACACGAAACTGAGTCATGTTGGCGTCTAAAACGCGTTTATATTTTACGATAGAAGCAATGAGTTTCATGAAGATTCGATATTTAAGACTGATGCTTAGACACTTTTGACATATTGGTGCTTCATCAAAATGACCCTAGTAAATCAAGTTTTCAAACAAGGTCATTATATAATGTGTATGTAATTTTGTAGATTTTTTCATGTTTGGAAAATTGTATATTAGCTGTATTTTTAATCTAGACCGCTACTTTGGAAAAAGCATTAGTTTGTCTTGCATAGTTGGCTGGGCTTGCACCGGTCATCGATTAGCCAAGCCTTCTAAAAGCTAATGTGATTCCTTTGTCTGGGAAACATAATAACAGTATTAGATTGTAATTCCATCCAAGCCATATATTGTATAATTTGCATACATTACAAGGATTTTTTAACCAGTAATTAGGTTTGACTTTCCTAAGAATAAGAGCTAGTAAAGTATGTTATTTATTTGCTGAGTTACTCATAAAAGAAGATATTTTCTGTGGAAAAAGTTTATTTCAGATTTCCCTGGACGTTATGTAAATAACGACAATTCCGTAATTCTATGCGTTGCAAAACGCTTTACCACAGCTATTGAAGGCGGTACTCCAGCTTACATTTTAAAACATTGCATAACATATTTTGGATGCGATAAGTAGATTTCTGCGTAGTCAATGTTATGTCCTATAGTACTTTGATATCTTATCATGATTGTGCTACAATTTTTGTTTCTGTGTTCCATGACGAAAAACGTTTTCTATCAACAAACAACAACTAAACTGCGATTTCGTGACACTCGCTGCCTCGGCTTCATGAAAGCAGCTGTTAAGAGGAATAGTACGGCATTACGTGGGAGGAGTAACTATGGTTTTTCATTATAATGTTGCCTTGCTTTCGTGTAAAAAGAACAGCGCGCATGTTCTATTGCATTATATAGCCCCTATTATTGGAGCAAGTGTTCCAGTGATCGCTTCTTCTTCTGCACTGCTTCCTGGAATTTGCATATTCAATTCTTTTGGGAGCTCCTATTATCCTATCAACGGTAAGCAGGAAGTAAGGACTAGCTCTTTCGTACTTTACGTATACGGCGCACCGTTTGTTTTAACTGCGTTCTCAAAATGTGGAACGGAAACAAGTTCATCCTTAACGGACGTCTGCGCACATCCTTACCCTCAGAAATCCACGTGGCTAGGTCCATTATAAAATCCCGGCTTCGAGGTGAACTTACTTATTTTTCTCCCAGTTGCTTGCATACGTTAAACATTCGTAGTTCAAGCAGCAGCTTCCTACTTCAAGCCCCTTTGCTGGAGTACTATTCCTGGGTTTGTCAAGATGTTGTGTCAATATAAGTTTTTAACAAAAGGCACCTTATTTGTGAGGAGACGTCGTTACTTGGCAAATTCTTCCCTCGCAGAGTCTGGGATTGCTTATATGCTGATAGAAATTTAAGCCGTGCATATTAGGCGGTTCAAACATCACTAGTAGTTATTGGCATGCCTCGTAAACGGGACCGCGCGGCAAGTGCGCTGGACCAACAAGGAAACCAGATGAGGGTACGGAATGCCTTGTTCGGGTTAAACTCCCACAACACATACCAAACATGGGCTTTTACGCCTATGTACAGGCTCATTCGGCGCTAAGTATCTTCGCCTTCCCTCCTCTGCCGAGGTTTAAACTCTATCCTAACACCGGGCTCATTTGGAGGAGTGGTGAAAGAGTGAGGTAAATGCAGCTCAACTCCACGCTCACTGTAATCTAATTCAAGCATAGGTCACTGTCCCTGCACCACCCTGTTGTTCAACACACAGTGTCTCTCGTACGAATTCACTGTCGAATTGTCTGTATTCATCTGCAGGGTCCGAATTTTGTGGCCTGAAATACATAGGCAACAGGTCCCACCCACCCCCCTGGTTTTTTTATATATCTTCGTGTCAAATGGCTACGTGTGTTTTAAAAGAAAACGAGTTAAACCTACTGAAGTGTTGTAATTTTGAACAATACACGTCATCATTGATATATATTATTTCTTGAGAATAGATAAGGTGAAATCAACGAAAAAGGAAACTATGTCTAGGCTTCTATTTGTGGAGCTCAGATCATATAAAAATGCGTAAAGTAGAGGATTAATGTGCATGCAGATATTTCCAAGTTAAATAGAGAAATTTACCTTTTTATCTATTCTCGAGCTTAAACTGAATTTAAAGCAAAGCCAGGATCACAGTGGATCTCCTTTCCTTTTTAAATTAAGACATAAACATGTCCAAAAAGCTCCTGAAAATATTTTTATTTATTTCAATTCAATCGTTTGCGTGAAAAAGACACGGGTGGGGCGCCGAAGACTCAAAGCATTTGTTTACAAAACACAGTGAATAAAAAGAAGCGACGCACATTGCCTTATGCCTGCAATTCCAGCAGACGGAAATGTAGTAGAAAAAACGCAAAACATGACCCATCTGCTAAGTGATTTCAAAATGACAATCAAGTAGATTTGTGTAGCCCTAAAATTTAACTTCTGAATCTGTCTCGTTTAAATATGAACATTAGCATGTCCTCACCAGGCAACGTCAACCTTACTGAGTACTTGCACAAATGGAATGTAATTTTAGAATTATGGAAGGTTAAGAAAAATATAATTAAATAGGTAGAATGAGCTCAGGAATTTTCCTTAAGTTGTCACTGATACACCAAAAAAGTTTTTTTAAATCGAAAAATCAGTCTAAAGTGCATATGAAGCGCTTAAAAAATAACTGAAAGACCAAAAAATATGTTTGGTGCATGAAAGTTTTAAAAAGCATACATCCCGCGTCAAAGAAATCTACAGGGGGTTGCGACCGTCAGACAGTATCACTATGCCGTAATAGGGCAGTAAAAAATAAAAATATCTAATAGCCTTGGCAACTAAATTCCGAAGCAGTGACAGTCATATCACAGGAAAGTAATCAATTTTCATTTTTTCCTCAAACACTTTGTAAATCGTTCTTATACACAAGAGTAAATCAAGTGCCAGAGTTCATGCATTTATTTGAAGGTTTTAATTACTGTAGGATTCTTTTGAGATACGAAATCATGCGAACAACATAATATGTTTGTAAAAAACTGGGTAATAGAGCAGATCTGTCTGTAACACGTGCATTTGGGAATGCCAGTGTTTGACGTCGAAACATCAGGACACATGTTGCGCGTTCAGTTTCTCAGTAGATTTGTAAACATGGGCGCATAAATTTTCCAATTGACATCGGGGTGTAAATCCAGAATACATGAAATAAAAGATACATGAACAATGAAGGAAGTTGAAGACGAAATAGCGAGTCGAATGAAAAGCATTTGTCCGAAAAAAGGTTCGTTTTGGTTGTTAGTTGTGGGCGGGGCTTTCAACCGTGTGGGAACTGTCACCTTTGGGCAGCTCCCTGTATTATCTTCTTTCTGCGGCCAAGGAGACTGAAAAGGGCCAAAAAGTACTGGAAAGGAAACTGTGCATGAAAGACAATGAAAGCATGCAAGTGAAATTATCACTAAAAAATATTGCTAAATATTTCCACATTCGTGTCCTTCAGGCAATTCGATGTATCGGCAGGCCTAGTGTGCGACTTTTTCAACTAAAATACTCCGAGCAGACTATTCCACTAATTTTAGGAAATGGAAAAAGTTCATTCTAGGGTTTTGCATTGAAAACGTAAGGCAGATTAATAATGTTTACAATGATAGTAAAGATGGGGATGGCCATTTTCGCCTAATTATCCGACACCAGCCAGTCATACTTGTCTAAACTACTCTTCCGTAAGCGATCGACGTGCGTCCATTACCGAATGAGGAAAAGCTGTGATTTGATGACAGTCAGGTTTATAACTGTTTGCGCAAATTATGAAGGGTGAATCGGCAGATTATCAGTCCAAAAAACACACTATCACATGTCGCCAGCAGCCTCCGAGACCGCTTCTTTCACACTCCTCATTTGATTGTTCATACATTATGGTAAAACACCAGCGGAGCATATAAATAGGTAGTAAATCTGGTTTCGATAGAGGCATCGACAGTTCTGCCGCGAGGCCATAAACTAAATCATTTGAAGAGTACGCATAATCTTTTTTTTCGAGTTCCATATTGGAAAAATCGAATAATTCAATCATATTGCACAGTGCCGCTGTAAACATCAACATACATACCTAGCTCAAATTCTGCATGCTTTTGATGTGAGTTATTTGTTCAGACAAACTATGCTGTCCAACTACGCTCGATGGACAACAGACTGCTGAGTGACAGAAAATAAGGCCACCTTCAAAAAGGCTGCATATGTAACTGTGCTGTCTTTACACGTCGAATTCTTCAAGTGTCGCCGTTGGTGCGATTTGCAACTTGTTTGTGAAAATGCGTTTGCAGTGAGTTCACCTTTAAGAATTTGTCTGAAGACGATAACATTTATTTCTCTTGTTTTTCTGTAAAATCTATGGCAGGGTATCCCCTTGATTAATTCAAAATGCTATTCCTCATACATCAGCCACTGTAGAGGAATATAATTTTTCTTCGTGGCTACCCGAACAAAATGGATCTTAAGACATCCAAATCACGTGGTTTTAAGTTACACATTTCTCCACCATAATTTAATTCTTTCTATTAAACCTAGTCTTTTGATACGTTGTGTTAATTATTCCCTATTCTTTCCTGATCTGGTCGCGTTAAAACATCCCTAAATAGTAGTATCAAATAGTAAATTGCATTCAGAGGACCTTCACGTCTTTCTTAAACATAACCGTTTTTCTGATTTATTAACTGTCTATGTTATCGCTACTTACCGAAGTTTTGCAGAAGAGCCATTCTTCTCAGTCTTGGCCGATTGAGTTTCCGCGAAAGTTATTAACACGTTTTCGTCCTTTTCTTTGTGGACGTTTAAGTACTTTGTGATAGCAAGCACTATAGGCACAGTTATGCAGGCTATCATTCCGAGAACATTCCATAGGCGAATTCCAAAGATCTTCAGGCACAGTGAGATATATATTCGTAAATAACAACATTAAAACGATAGGCGAAACTCCAAAGTTACTCCAACATTATTGTTAGATTATAAGAGGACTTAGCCGATTAGGCACAAAATATTATTTAAATAGTCATCACACGACCACAGCAAAATGTGAGAGTGAAGGGTAGTTAGAAAAAATGTGGCATTACTCACCCAGACATAAAATTGTGTGTATGGAAATTCCTTTGTTGTCGGTGACATGATCGGCCAAATAATCAGAAACCAGGTAATAATGCCTGCAAAGCCCATGATGGTTGCTTTTCGCACCAACCGTAGGGACCGTTTCACCTCAGCCAGAGGTGGTTTGCCCTCGCTCAATCTTGGCGAGAAGCGCAGATCCAGCTCACTGAAAATGTATCGCGTGTAATTATGCGTTTCGGTAGAAATAATTTTTCTAGTAAGCACCATTTGTTAATGGGTGATGTAGTAATTTACAAATGCAAACCCTTCCTCGTGTCTCTGTTCGTCCTAGACTTTCCCGATAGTACACAGTTGGAGTTAGTAAGCGCTCTTCCTACGTATCGAAGCACCGTTGATTTACGAATTGCAAATTAAAATTAACAATCACATCGGGTAGTGATTTGTAGTGCTTAAGTCCGCTAAAATTTAGAAGATATTGACTTCGGTGCAAGGCACCAAAAGGCTAGCCCATCTGTTTTATTGACGTCATACTTTGGTACTAGATAAAGTACTTGTCTACACATAGTTTGTGAGTGATGAGATAGAGTAGGCTGGAAGGAAGACAGCTGGTCACCTAGCGCGTTTCCTACAGTCGAAACTCTATCTCATGAAAAGTTAACCAACATTACGAGGTGTGTGTTTCGAATCAAATAAATTCCTTGTGTGGGGTTGTATTACTGACTATTGTGCACCCTAATCTCAAGATATTCAGTAACCTCAGGAAGCCGACTCTGGAACGAATTTTCTTCTGGTAACAAGCACAAAAACCAACTTTACATAAAATGGCTATATAATTGGGATGACATTTTCCTCTTTATTTTCAATGCTCTTAAAAATTCAAATATATTTGATAGAAAATATATCCAAAAATTTTGTTTTTGTACTTCATGGGTAGGGACCGGCGTCTTCTTCAAATTTGATGTCTGAACAAAGTGTATTTTGTGACTTTAAAAATCTTTCGAATTCGCCCAATAATTGTGAACCCTACCGGCAATCACACTTGGATTCAAGGTTTCCACACATTACGCTATGGGCTTTCTGTCTAAGTAAAATCGCACATTTCTCTACATTATGGGAAAATGTCTCATAAGTCTCATACTATTGGGACGTGGCTGTGGAACATATTGAATATTTTATAAGAACTATTAGCAAGTAGAGTACGACTCGATCGCCGAGACAATATGTGCATTCGCCTGACGTTTCGAAATTCGTCGCGGATTTATCATCAGAAGCATACTCACAGAACAGTCGCAGAAACAGTTTGTGTGTGCACAGGTTTCTGCCGTAAAATTTAAACCCACAGAAAAAATCGATAAAAGCCTTTGCTTGTGCGCTGATTCATTGTGTCAGCGATGTCCATCTGGCCTCGTGATGTTGGCGTAAGATGATGTGGTGGCCGGTGTATTCCCCGAGTGGCGACTTGCTTTGGCAAAATTTAGTCTCAACACCGAATATGGATTGGGTAAATCGTTGCACTGTTTGACGGATTGGGGGCCCAGCCATACATTCAAATTTGATGAGGCCGAAATTCTCGCAAGAGGTGACAATCG